AGCAGACAAATTTTTATAAGACTATGATGTGTAAGTATGTTTATCTATTTGGTTTATTGGGAAAGGGTTCATATGAGCGGCTTTAAATTTTCATCAATATCGGGCTGATTTTTTTTTTTTTTTTTAAATCTAATATGTGCATATTAAAAGTGTTAGTGTCCATTTGGAATGAGTCACTAATCAATAAACAGATGTGATGAAATGTTATAAATTATTGAAGCCGTTGTCTTTGTGCCTCTCTCCTCACTACACATGCTTACTAATACAAACCGTCTTCCATCTTAAAATTTTATGTGTTGTCTTCTGTCATCAGATGCTTTAGTTTGTTGTTAAAGCTCAGCCCTGCTCTGCTAAAAATTGGATTATGTCTTCACAGCTGCACAGGGCGAGGAAAGGGAGTGTGCCTTCACAGACCAGCAGCAGCAGTGGGAGGTGGAGCGAGTAGCGGGGGGTGAAGGCCGGGTCTCCCCAGAGAATACCACCATCCGATGTGCCAAGGGTAGTCACTGTTTTGGGTTGTGGGAGAAAAGTCCTCCAGGCGAAGTGAGACTTGTCAAACAAGGTTAGAACGGGTTAACTCTGCTGATGGTTTTACTTGTACAAATGAATCACAACTATTTTTATAATTAGATATCAATTTCACTGAAGTGTGAAACATTCACTGGTTCTAACATCTCAAATGTGAGGATTTGATGTTTAAAGCGGCAGCTACCTCTTTGTCAATTCATCAATTGCTCACTCGACAGAAAATTGATGCCATTGATGGTACAAAATTTGCAGTTTAACACAACAGTAAATTGAATTTGTGTTGAGTTTTTTTGGACTGTTGGTTGGAAATGTACTGTACACTATATATATATATCTGCACAGTAGCAACAAGAGGTGGAGCCACAGTATCAGGCTGCTATATATATCTGTGGGATATACTTTAATTAAACATTTAATTATTCTAATCATTACATTCGTTAGTGGCATATTTTGTGGAGAGTAGTTGTTTGCTTATGGTAAAAATGACAAACTGCTAGTAAGTCAGTTTGTAGCTATCAAATTATCTCTGGTTGAGCAGAAAACAGTTGAATTCTCCTCACTCTGCTTCTGTCACCCTTCTCTGTCAGGTTGCTGGACTCACCTGGGTGACCACCAGGGCTGCCGCGACGACCGCTGCGTGGTGACCAACCTCCCTCCGCAGATCCAGAATGGGACATACCACTTCTGCTGCTGTGGCAGCGACATGTGCAACATCAACTTTACAGAAGACTTCCCACCGCCCAGCCCCACCACTGCACAGCCCATCTGTAAGGACACACATGTTTTCAACATCAGTTTATTGTCTGTCACTAGTCAGTATGCTCTGTACATATAGTTATACAATGGATGATATCCAGCATGTGTTTATATTGTTCGTTTATTCTCTTGCCAAAGGATTTCTTACTAGTCGTGATCAGTCTTTTTTTTTCTTTTCTTTTCTTCATGTTAATACTTTTATGGTTTTATTAATGAATCTGACGCTGACTGTTATTTTGGAAACAGAGGCACTGAGGGAAATCATTTTACTACTGATCAGGTCACATGTAACATCAGGTGAACTCCAAGAGGAACTATATGGAGAAGGTAGCTGTGATTAATTTGACAGAAAATCAGTTTGGGCTAAGAAATCAGTTTAGACTCCTTATATAAATTCACATTGTTGGTGTTACATTATCCTCTTTTCCAGAGTTACATTGAGTCAGGAAACCATTTTAGCTGTTGTATAGCAGTGTCTTGCACCACTGAGAATCTTAACATCTGTGCCATGGTTACAGTCATCTCTTACACAATTGGGTTGCATTAGGTAGAGGTAGTAAACTGAAAGCAAAATGACAACAATGTAGAAAAGAGTGGGAATAAAACAAACAGGCCCACACAGTTCAGAAACAGCCATTAGCAGAAAAGAATGAAAGGATGTTTGATATCATCAGAGCTGTTATATCTACATCTATTACTTTCTTCTCTGCTTCATCATTCGGCCACAAGGCTTAAAACCTAGCTTCTTGACTGCCATCCATTATGAACCTTGACAACTGTGAATTGGTATTCATTCATGGACATAAACTTGCAGTGTCCTCACTCAGAGCTGGGATTGAGGCCTGTGATTGTGGGTGACATTTTGATCCTGTTTGTATCAGTGTTCTTTTTAAGTTGTTCGTGACTTCTTAGTAAAGTGTCAAACAAAGCAAACAGCTGTATTGTTAATTGTTCCTTCCTTTCAAGCTTTAGTTGTGAATGAAAGCTCCGTGTGTGTGTGTGTGTGTATGCGTGTGTGCGCGTGCTGGGAGGGGAAAGGGGAACCGACGGCAGTGGCAGCTCATCATCTCCTGCCTACACTTAAACACAAACACACGCTCTACCATCCATGTCGTCTCTCTGCATTCCATGGATTACAAGGCGTCTGCTCTATCTGTCTGTCTGTCTGTGGGTGTGTCAGTAACTGTTCCTTTAAGGAGACAGTCGACAAGACGAAGACGGGAAAATGTTAGGAAACAATTCGCCAGTTAGTGTTACAAAGATGTTTGCATAATTAGTGAATTTTAGGAATGGGTTGTATTTTAACTTAAATCCCCGCTTCTGTTTCTGCTAGCACAATAATTCCACACATCTGGGCAGATGTATGCTCATTTTATTAGTTACAGGAAATGGGTTGTGTTAGTTGAGTGATCTTAAGCTAACAGGGATGGATGATGACATTTGGAGTTGAGTAATGGGAATAATACTCCGCTTTTTTATTTGAGTAAAAGTAGCTATACCACAGTGTAGACATAATGTTGTATGTGAAACTTACTGTATACATTCAGTTGTACATTAGCATCAAAATATAATATCCTGAGCATAAAGTTGCTCATTATGCAGAATTTTCAGAATAATGTACTTATTGGAATATAATCACTAATGCATTCATGTGTAAGCATCACTTCTATATTGCAGCTGGTAAAAATTTGAGTTAATTTTAATCACATATATTGCTGGTGAGTTGAATCTATAATAGTATATAATGGTGGTGGTAGTGGATGAATAGTATAATGGAACCAACAGTGATTTGCCTCTTCTCACTGTTGATGTCTGTCAGTCCTTGATTACTTTATGTATCTGTGCCATAGATGTCCATTGTTGTTAAGAAATTATTAAAAACACATCATGGAAACACACCACTGCACTGGGTGACATTGCAAAACACAAGACCCTGATATTATCTTGTGGATGGACATTTGACTGTTAAATTAACAGTGAGTAGAGGCAAATCACTATTGATTTAATCTCTAAATGGGGATTTAATATAGGCTAGAAAATTGCATTTTCTGAAGAAAAGGCGTATGGATGCTGAGTGTTGAAAGATTGCCCTGAAAACGCTGAACATTTTGACACCTTTCAGTTTTGCTAACTGAAAGTATGCTGAAGTATGAATTTTCACATTCATTTGAATGGGGCAAGATTTTCAAAATAAAGCAAAATTTTTGAAAGGTATGAAGTTTTAAAAGGTTCTAAATAAAAGCATGACTGTTGTTGAAGAGCTGCACATTTTGATAGCTGAAAGTATGCTGAAGTAGAATTTTCCCATTCATTTGAATGGAGCAAGATTTTCAAAATAAAGCTAAATATTTCAAAAGTATGAAGTTTAGAAAACTTCTGAAGAGAAGCATGAATGTCCTTGAAGAGCTGAACAGTTTGATACCTGAAATAGCTGGAATTATGCTGAAGTACAATTTTCCCATTCATTTGACTGTGGCAAGATTTTCAAAATAAAGCTAAATATTTCAAAAGTATGAAGTTTAGAAAACTTCTGAAGAGAAGTATGAATGTCCCTGAAGAGCTGAACAGTTTGATACCTGAAATAGCTGAAATTATGCTGAAGTAGAATTTTCCCATTCATTTGAATGGAGCAAGATTTTCAAAATAAAGCTAAATATTTCAAAAGTATGAAATTTAGAACAATTCTGAATGGAAGAATGAATGTCCTTGAGCAACTGCACATTTTGATAGCTGAAAGTATGCTAAAGTAGATATTCCCATTCATTTGAATGGGGCAATATTTTCAAAATAAAGCT